AAGAGACTAGCCAATCTCTCTCTTTGCGCTTTTGAATTTCATTATAAAAAAATTGTTTTACCGAAAAATACCTATTATAATATTATCATTATGTGTCTTTTTTTAATTTTATAAATAAATATAATAAATATGGGATCGTAGTCATCAGCGCCACCGTAGGCTACATGACAAACAAATTTTCTGGCCTTAGATGGGGACAGTTCTCTTGGAATGTTCGAGAAAAATAATAAAAGTTCAATGCTTTCTAAGAATAAGGCGTCACAAAAAACAAAATAAAATAATATCATCAAATTCAACAGCCAAACTTATATTTGAAGTTGGTAACTCATGATTGGTTGTAAGTACATACATACACAAAAGCACAAGTACGTACATATATAAAAAGGAATTTTATTTTAATTATTTTCTTAATTTTTAAATTAATAAATTGGGCACTATACAATAACTTTACTTTCAATTTACCTTTGTTTTGGAGTTTTCATTCATTTTCTCCCGAACTGAATACATTACACACATAAAACACGCTGTGCTAAACGAAAAAATAAAAGTAAAATGGGTATTTTGTTTTAAAATTGAATAGTTTTCTCTTAAACGACACCATTTTCGCATCAAATAAGGTCAACCATCAGGATTTTCCATTAATTCCCCAATTTCCCAGATTGATTCTCGTGCATACACACCTTTCAGTTTATACCGCCAGGTATTATAATGGAAGAATTATTTCAATTTTTGTCATTTGTATCAAGGTCTAATTTCTTTAAATAACTTTATAACTTCTTGGGGGGCCTATTCGTTCCGAATGTTGGTGACTTACTTTGTTGGTGACTGTGCAGGACAGCCCAGTCCATCATTTTCTTAGGTTTTGAAGTCAGTAGATTCGTCTTTTGCCATACACTTTTCCTTGGGGAATTAATTGGAGGAGGCCATATCGTTGTTCGTTCCTCATTATATGGCCTAGGTATTCCAATTTACATTTTTTAATTGTTGTCGTAACTTCGCATTCCTTTCCTGTGACTGATTTGTGAATCTGTCGACCGAGGGGATTCTTAGGATGCGTCTGTAACACCACATTGTGAACGCTTCCAGTTTTTTTATAGCAACCGTCGAGAGCGTCCAAACCTCTGTATCATAGAACTGAATCGGTATAGCACTGTAGTACGAAGATTTTGGTTTTCAGCGGCAGGTCGTGGCTTTTAAAGACGATGCTCATCTTGGCTTTTTGCTATACGTTGTCTTATTTCCAAGGAGTGATCCCATTGACTGTTTACATTCGTGCCAAGATATGTGTAGCTTTCAACTCTTTCAATTGGCTGTTGGTCGATAGTCAGCTGAGTATTTAAGACTGGCCTTTTTGCTAACGACCATATATTTTTTTTCTTTGTGTTTATGTCTAATCCGCACTGTTGGCTATTTTTTTTTTTTGGCGAATATCACTGCGTCGTTTGCTTATCTGATTTCATTCAAACGTTGGCCGTTAATTATTGCCTTCATCACATTCTACCAAAGCTTGTTTGAAGATATGTTCTCCCATTCTCTCAAGATATGTTGTCTCACTCCAAACTCTATTGAAATTGCTTTTGTCAAGTACTCTTATGTTAGCACTTTAGTTATAGTAAATATTTTTTTATCATCTATGCCAATCTCTTTGAGCAGTGATATAAGTTCAGCATGCCTACCTCTATCGAACGCCTTCTGTTAGTCATACATATTTATAACAACTCCCGGATAGCAAAAAGCGCCTCTCATGTCCCGAGAGCATCACAAAACCCAAATTGTGGACGTATTATTTGTTCTTCGCTTGTGGATGATTCTTAAGAAAGTCTTAAGGCTTATAATTGTATACTCATAACACTTTATAATGGTTACTGCTAATTTGTATAATATTTTTTTATTTTAATATATTATACTAAATTAGCATTTTAATATAACAAATAATATATCCAAATTTTAACAGAATCGAATGAATATTTGTTTAGATATATTTTTTTCAATTTACCACCCACTTTGTTTTTCAAGGAATCCCGCTCTAAAATATCTCCGTCTATTTTTTTAACACCCTGTATCTATATTTTTCATTTCAACTCAAATCTATCTACGATTGAGACAAGCTTTCAAACTATAAGTAATATATTATAGGTATTTAACAATAAAATAGTTTTATAGTTGTTTTTTTTATAATTTTTGTTTAAATAAATTTTTCTACACAAATTCACTAATTTTTATTTTGAAAATTACAAAAAACGATTGCAGCAAAATGATACTTTCAGAAGTCGCATTGTTCACGGTCGCGAGCCACTTCGGGCGTAATCGATTCTTTAGTCACGGGTTTGATAGCGAGAATGCATATTATTATAAATAAATTCATATTAAAATAGCAAGTAGATCTTATTAGTATTGCTGTGCTTAGTGCGACTTGTGTTACCACAGAAAAGTTCTTTTTTGAAGTCTATATAAATAGAGTTTTTTTTTCTTTTGGGCGATAATTCGTTGGCTCTGCTTGGAAAATCTTCTCTCAATGAAATTGGTCAGGCATATTTTTTTTACAGTATTTATAATATACGGACAAAAATGACTTTGTCAGATAATGTGTTTTTTTCACTCCACAATAATAGGCAACTTATTTGGGATCTATTTTTTGGTTGTAGATATTAAGAAGGGGTAGGAGTAGAAATAATTTGATATAGCTACTTACATATTTTCTGTCGATATAGTTGGCATTCTATTGTTATTTTATGACAATGACAATAAAATATCTGTATATCTAAAGCATTCCGAATGCTGCGTACGGACCAGTAATACGCACAACGAATGTGTGAATTGAATAAAGAACATTATTTATCGACATACTCTCCGGTCGATCTTCTACACCGGCTCTATTCTATCAATCGAGCCCCGAAATATTGCAAGTTACAAACACCACACATACACTCTCGCAAACATCGTACGTATACGTGAATTTTTTCAGCTCTTGGTCTATCGATTGCCTCGGGTCCCGGGTCTTTTAAAACGACAGCCCAAGGTCGATCGCTTCTAACCGCATAACATCGCCCGGTATTCCAATACGGATTTTTAAGGAAAGTTTTTGGTCAACAAACCAGGCGACTTCCGACGCAACGCACCTTCGTTTATCGCAGGATGTTTGATTTTTCTCAAACCAATGGGCATGATTGAAAGCCGAGTTATTATCAGCTTAAGCTTTCCTGCTTGGTATATGAAGTTAATTATACCAGCAGCCGTCGCAACCTCTCGATGAAGACGTAAATCTGCGATTTTCCGCGATTACAGTTTTCAAATATCCGGCCAAAGCGCATGTAGATCTAATTAATTCGTAATTAGGGATGTTAATTGGGAAACCCTGGAGATATGTATAATACCACGGTTTCACTTCATAATCTTGCATGCTTTTTAAACCGTACTTAACATTCAGATCTCAATCCATTTTTTCAAATGAGATATACCCGGATAAGGCGGATGTTTTACCGGTGTCCCTCATAGATCGATTTGGGGTCCATTGCTCTTGTTTATGCATCTCATTCTCCTAAATTTAGTAAAATTGAAGCCGTGGCGGATGACACGCAAGATTGTAGTTCTTTTATCCCTGACAATTAGAGAAAACTGGAAACATATATGATGAGGACCTCAAAACCTTATATCAAATGTCTTAAAATCACAACTTGAAGTAAAATCCAGATGAATCGTGCGGTATTATCCTTGGTAATTCTCATCAGTAACGTTCCATTCACGGCGGTTCCAGCAATCCTTCCTTCTATCATATCATTCCAGCTTCTTGTTGATTTTTCTTTATTTCTGGAGGAACCAAATTCTATATTTTCTTTGTCCATCTATTCAATTACAATCCGGGGGTATCCAGAATGGAACCAGCGTCAATTCAATAACCACTTATGTATCAGAAACATGGGAGTTGATGGGTGCAAATGGGTGAAACTATAATACTCTTCTTCTTCTTAAAGTGTCTATCCGTTACCGATGTTGGCGTTCATCACGGCAATTTTTATCTTGTCAGCAGCAATACGGAAAAGTTGTGGTGTTGTCTTATTAAACCAGGATCTGAGATTCTTCAACCAGGACATTCGTCTTCTTCCTGGGCCACTTTTTCCAAAAATTGTTCCCTGCAAGATCGATGGAAGCAAGGTGTATCTTGGTTCGTTTCTCATTATGTGGCCGAAGTACTGTAGCTTGAGTACTTTGATGGTGTTGATTATTTCACGATCTTTTTTCATTCGTCGAAGTACTTCTTCATTAGTAACACGATCAGCCCACGGGATTTTTAATATGGGCCTGTATAGCCACATTTCGAACGCTTCTAACTTGCTACACATATCTTCATTGACGGTCCATGATTCTACACCATAGAAGAGGATGGAAAAAACGTAGCAACGCAACATTCTTATTTTAGTTAGTTCAAGAGATAAGTTGTGGCTCTTAAAGAATGCACTCATTCGGTTGAATGTGGACTTAGCTTTTGCAATGCGTGCTCTGATTTCTTGATTGTTGGTCCATTCTTCATTTATAATAGTACCAAGGGTGTTGTACTGTTTTACTCTTTCTATGGGAATTTGGTATATGTAGAGTTGTCTTCCTGTTATCTTATTCTTACTTATTATCATCATTTTTGTCTTCTTAACATTGATGTTAATACTCAGTTGTAATAAATGGAACGGAATTTGTCTCCGTAGAAATTCTGTTGTTGGGTTACTTCAGAAAGAGAGAAGCAAGACCACCAAGAAGCTGCTAAGATGTTGTACAGGAAGTTTTGTTAGCAAGAACATTAAACGAAGAAGGTTAGTGGAACCGTAGTCAGTGGAAACCCCACATATACAAATATATACAGGGTGTCTCACCGTGAACTGCGATGATCTGTTATCTGTAATTTTAAAAATTTAGAATTAAAGCAATGTTGCCCTCTAAAAATGTTCAAGATGGCAGCACATACGGATATAAGTAATTATTGTTATTATTAAATCGTCCTTTTGTTGCAGTCTATGGTATGGAGGAGCACCATATGACCGGTACGCCGGGTTTGTACACGTCGGGTCGCTCAACGTCTAGCAGTTCTAGTCCGGGGGTCGCTGGATCGAGCCCCGCCCTGTTGGTGGTACCCCAGCCGATAAACGCGACCAAAATGGGCGGCATGCAAAACGGCGGCGTGCAGCCAAGGAAGTACCAATGCAAGATGTGCCCGCAGGTAAGTGTAAGTACCATCTATGCGATTTAATCATGTTACGTGTGTTGCGGCTATCGTGACCTGAGGGTGCTATTTTCTTAAATGAAATAAAAACAAAAATAGTGATTTTCCGATAACTTATTTGAAAAGGTCAACACTTGCGTGGTTACGGTTCTCTACGTAAGAACCAGTTGCGTGCGTATTCTCAGTTTACTTATCACAATTTTTTATGTATAAACAAAACTTGAGGTTGATCTAATAGAACACCCTGTGCGTATTTTCATTTTCATTAGGGAGGGACGACGTAAAACCAATTAATAATTGACACACTGTACGGGTTTAGCCAGTTTGAATCTAAAAGTGTCCAATTTTGATGCAGTATAATAAAAATACAAAAATTAACCCCGTTTGACCCAAAATTATAAAAAAAATCTTTCACTTCCAGCTTCGTACAGGGTGGGTCAAAGGGGGGAAAACGAAAACTGAAATTGGTGTTATAGGACGCTTTTCGAAAAAGGTCATTTGGTACGGGCAAACGTTCGTAAAGAACGTTTTATCGAAAAATTTGATGGGTTAGTTTTTGTTTTTTCAAGCTAATAGTTTTGGTTGTCAACAGAGAAACGTTTTCGAGCCAATGAAAATTAACTTTCCAAATATAGTAAGTTTAAGGGAAGGTAATTTTATGTTCTTTTCAATTATGCAAAAACTTATAGGCTATCGTATATAAAAACATGTTTTCTGTTGATTAAGCCATTAGTTTTTAAAACCACCATTTTATTTTATACGGTGTTTTTTGGAATACCGATTTCAAAATTGGGTGTCTTTAAATATTTTCTTTTCTTTGCCCCACACATATTTATTACATCTGTCGATATTTTATTTATGTATTATTTATTGTAATTGACTTAAAATCGTGCGAGAACGTTGACATACATGCCATACAGGACTTATAAATAGTCTCCAGAGAGTAATTTGAAAAAAAAAAACAATAAGAATAAAAAATATCAAAACATAGGAATCGAAGACAGAATAAAACCTCACGCGTACCTACGTCTAGCTTATTGAAAACATAATAACAAATAATCTTTTCTTATTAATGCACATAGCTTCTGGATGTCCAAATAATTTTGGGCTTAATTTGCAGCATTGTAGACACATTGAAGTTCATTGGCAGTTCGTTAATAGTTTTTGTGATCATATAAAAGAATGCCCTATAAAGCTCAGTCGGAGGTGTGAGGGTACCTTTATATCGAATGTTAATGGTATGGAGTTGTCTCTAAACTTTATTTATTTATAAAAGACTTCTAGAGTATCTGGTGTATCAAAACTATATTTGCTATCGGTAAATAGTATAAAAGAGATGAGTTTTCGGGCATTTTTTGCTTTTCTTTTATTTCCTGTTTCATCGGTTTAAAATTTTTAAATCGGACACCCTATATATTTTTACAAACGGCGGAATTTCGACAGTCTCTCGCCCTCCCCGTCGAAAACGGTAAAGTTACAACTTCCCCTTGCGGCTCATTAAGATCGAGACTCCCTCGCCGTCACCCTCCCCTCACCACCCCAAAAAAAAAGTAGCGATTTTTCTTGCCTAGGCGTGACGATGTTTCAACCGCGTTTCCGCCAACGATATCCCGTTTCCGGTTCTTAAAAAGCGCAAGGGGGTGGCGGGGTCGATGCGAAATTAGACATTTTTTACACGAAACGAGATATTTTTAAAAGCCTTCGGAACCCCCCGCGTGGGGCCACCCCGCACCGGTCGTACTACGGGATCCGTCCGCGTCACATCCAATCTACGAAATGTTATGGGAAAATCCGGGCAGTACGTCGTGGGCCTACTATGTGGCGCGACTTTGACGAGGCCGGAATAAGTTCCACTTGCCAGCCGAGTTCCTTAGTTTTATCAAAATAAACGTGAAGGCGTTGTCTTTATTTCAGGGACTGCTAATACCAGGTACAAAAAATATTATAGGGGGTTTCCCAAAAGAACTGGAAGAATATTTCAGCAAACGCGTGACGTGATCTTATGAAACTTATGCAGTTGCCATTTAATTAGATTTTTTTTATTAATTACTCCACCCAAATGCAATTATTGCCAAAACTGTTTTGTTTTCGGGAACCATTTTAGGTGCTCTTGGAATGATTCTAAGTTAAGTTAAAGCTAAGTGATACAGGGTAGGTCGAAAAAATCTGCGAAAGATGATTTAGAATTAGCAGTAAAAAAAATTGTATTTAACTTATTAACTTAATAGAAATCAAATAAATCTGCCACCATTTTTTTAATATTTTAGGCAAACGCAAACGTCGTGATTTATTTCAACGATGGCGAGACTCCCTCCTAGTAAAATAAAATACCAATAATAAATAAAAGACGAGTTAAGACTGTAATTAAAACTGCTGCAGATCTTTATTTTAAATGTTAATTGCATATTTTTCGGTCTGTTGTAAACTTAAATGTATAATGTTTGCAAAGTTGCCAAATTTTCTTTTTCCATGATTTCTCGAAATATGAAAATTTTGTAATACATTTGTATTAAAATTACCGGACCACTAAAATGTTGTTTCATATTCAATGTTGTACACAATATTTTTTGTTTTAGGTTTTAGAAATATACAGTGCGTTTAAAAGTAAAGCAAAGTTTTATACTCAACGTGTGTCAGCATTTTGTTTTTTATGCAAAGTTTAATGTCAAGCGTAAGAATTACAATTTAATAGAAAAAAAAATGAAACTAACACATAAACACCCACTTGAGCCCATGAATGTTCTATTGGGTTAAGGTCTGGACTCTGTGGAGGCTCAATATTCACCTGATTTAAATAATTTTTTACATTACATGTCAATATCAATCATCGTTCTCAATCTTTAGCCGTCTAGTTCACATGTTCCATGGCAAAATCAATTCTTGTTCGGATAAGGTTTGCATTTAACTACGGTACTGCTGCTGGAATTCTAAACACTTTCTGTAAGACATATCGTTATGTACAGTTGTCCTAGACCTGTACATGTTTTGATGTCATAAATCGTTGTGTCAAATCATTCAATTTGCAAATATCCATCATGAAAAGCCGTTGTGCCCCAGGTTCTGGGGTGCCTCGGTTATGGTCATTCGTTTCTTCAAAATAAGTGAGACGAATGAGAAACTTCGAGTCTATACCTCGGTAACTCATTACTTTCTGGTTTAAGGTTGTTGCATATTCATCTCGAGATAAGTTTTTTATTTGAAGTTCCGCACTAAACGATAACACCAAATACTGAAAAATAACAGACTAAATTCAAATGACAGCTCATAAATGTAACGACAGATAGTCACGCGCCTTGGTTACCCTTGGCTCACTTAGATTGTCGTGGGAGTACAACTCTTCTTGTAATCGGGCACAGTTATTCGTTTCGCATCAAATTCAGTATTTTATTTTGTAACCAACATAAATACAAGATAAAATGTTCATTAAATATTTAAATTTAAAAAAAAAAGTATTTAAGTGGTAAGCTGTCAAAATTATTTATGAAAATAAAGGGAATTGGAAAAAAATAAATGGTGTATTAATAAAGGTAAAAAAAACACCTATCCGGATGAAGCGTGGACTGTATAGTAGGCCCTGACAAAAATCCAACCCCGGCCGTGTTGCACCTGTTGGTCGCGATCACCTTGAAAAAACCTCTCGATCGCTGCTGCTGCATCTTCCCACAATGAGAGCGCGTAAAACGCACATATATATGTTTACATCAGGGGGTGGCGGCTGAAAATCTGGCTCCAATCTCGGGGGTTTAAAAATAATTCGGCACTTCCTAGTTCCACGCGACGGCAGCCACCAGCCAACATTTTTTGTTTTATAATGGTAACTGTTACTCTATTTTGTAAAAACTGTCCACGAAACGTTTTAGTTACTCTTTGAAAACCCCTATAGCACCTAAATAGAGAATCATATACAAATATTTATTTGTAACTTTGTAACCAGAGTGTTAAAAACACCAAACAAAAAAGTCCCTTTTTGGTTTACCTTTTTCTAAATTATTTGTTCGCGCTCTTGTCGGTGAATTTTCACTTTGAAATTATTATGAAAATGTCTTATTAAATCATAACAACTCAAACACTTAATTTTATTTGCTGTGAAAAATTTCTTCTTCTTCCAATATCCTGGGTAACATTTAGCCTTATTTCAGGGTTTAATGACGCACCTTGCCACCTTTTTTGTGGTCTTCTTTGTGCTCTTTTTCCTTTAGATCTTTGCTCGTCTGAGTTCCTCCATTCTCGTTATATTATAATTGTAATTCTTTCTTCTTTCACGTCCCCATTTTCGCCGTATAGCTTCGTTTCTTGTTCGATCTCATCTAGTCTTCTCTACGATTCATTTTAATGTTTTAATCTCCGCTGTCCTTAGCGCCTATTTTGTTTTCTTGGTATCGACAGTGGTTTCAAGCGTATTGCATTGGTCTTGGGTCTATTTCTCAGCACTATATCTCCTGCGGTGGATGCTGCTTTTGTTACTTATTTCATTTATTCCATCAACCCCTTAAGCATTAATTGCTTAATAATTTTTCCTTCTCCGCTTTTTTTGTTGATATTGTATTTTGATTTGATTCGATTTCTTTTGCAGGAACCGTTTTAAATTGCCTCTTTGTCATGTTCCTGTATATATCGTTATTTCTTTGATTACCTTCCCGTCGACTTTTATTTTGGCGTAGCAGTTGTAATTAATTTTTTCTATGGTCCTTATATTTTTAATACTACGTGGATTATTCTTATTGTATCTAACGCTTTGGTTAGGTTCTCGAAACACATGAAGACGGGAATGTTGTGTTCTCTGGATGTTTTTACTATCTGGCGAATTATAAAGATGGCATCCGTTATTGATCTGTTCGTTCTAAATTCTTGCTGGCATATTGGAATTATTGGTCTAGAATCTTCAACTATGATTTGGGTAAAAATTTTCGATATTGTGTCTAGTAGTCTCTAGTGGTTTTTCTCTTCGCCTATAGACATTGTTTAAAATGTGATGTTATACCGTTTTTATGAAGGTATTAAAG